TTGTATAATTTCTTCAACTCTAATTTGAGTGTACTATTCTCTGCTTCTAGTCTACAATTAATATACATTGATCTTTTATTTTTTTTTTAACATTTTAAACGATGTGTTTATTTGACAGAGAGAGAGACAGCAAGCTCAAGCAGGCAGAGCGGCTGGCAGAGGGAGAGCGAGAAGCAGACCTTCCGCTGAGCAGGGAGCCTGATGTGGGGCTCGATCCCAGGACCCTGGGACCATGACCTGAGCTGAAGGCAGACGCTTAACCAACTGAGCCACCCAAGCGGTGGCTTTCAATGTGTGTATTTTTCACTTGTAAAAGTTCTATTATTTTTCAAATCTTCCTGTTTATATTTCAGAGTGTCTTATTTTCTTAGTTTTGATTTCTTCTTTTATTCATTAGTCATTTTAACATCCTTGTATTTTCTTTCAGATTATTGTTTTATCAGCTCAAGTTCTTGGTGCTCTAATCCTCCTGTTGTTTGCTAATCCTATTTTGTGGCAGTTTTGTTTGTTCTTACTCATTTTTAGTCAAATTTTTTTCCCCTATGACACCTGAGTATGAGTATGGACTGCAGGAATGTTCACTTATAGAGATTTTGCATTTGTGCCAAATGTATCCTGTTAATTTTTCAGCTTGATTCCCTAGATCATGTGGATGGTGCACACTGAAACAATGATACCCAACTGCACAGGGCAGGGGTGTTCCATTTTTCTGGGTAGACTTTTTAAAACTTGGAACATATGCAGTAAGAAACAAGCTTTCTTTGTGGGAGTAATCCTAACGTACTCCTTTAATGTAAGGGTGTAGTTTCAAAAATCAGAGAGCGCAAGACTTCTTTGCCATCCCCTGATGGTAGATAAAATCCAAGTGCCTATGAGGTTATGGTGACTTGTTCAAACCATTGTACTGAATATGTTCCCACAGGTCACAGAAGACATTCTTATTGCTGAATTAGTGGTAATTCATATCTTCACAACCCTTGACATTTTTGTTGCATGTAAACCACTTGTTTTAAGTTTTGCTTTTCTTGTCTGTGGTGGAAAGAGCACTTTTGTTTGGGATTAGGAGATGGGTGTATATATTGATCCTGCCACTTGCTGGTTGTGCGGCATTGATTAAATAATTCAACTTTTGAGGTTGATTTCTTATTTAAAATGAGGATACGGACACTGGGTGGCTCAGTTGGTTGAGCATCCAACTCCTGACTTTGGCTCAGGTCATGATCTCAGGGTTGTGGGACTGAGCGCCGCGCTGGGCTCTATACTCAGTGGGGAGTCTGCTTGGGATTCTCTCTCTCCCTCTCCCTCCGCCCCTCCCCCCCCGCACCCCTTTCTCTCCAAAATAAATAAATATTTTTAAATAATAAAATAAAATGAGGTAATGCCATCTTCATATGATTCGGAGGTTCTTATAAGTTAGCATCTATAAAAGTACTTAATATATTGTAGAGCACCCCAGAAATGAATTATTATACTATCTTGGTCCTCTTCTGACCACTCTGCCTTTTCTCTCAATATAATCATATGGTAATGTTCAAGACTTCATCTTCTGCCTGTCTCCCATTACATCTTGTCTTTCAGATAATTCAAGATAATTAATTCAGTCTCAGGGTTTTAATGATCAACTTCTAAATCCCTGTTGTCAACTCCTTTTTCTCACTAAAACAACAGTGCTATCACAGGGTTTTGATGATGCTTGAATGAGATAAATGGAGGTATCCTAGTAAACAATATACTCAACAGAGGCTATTATTACATTTTTATGTGCTTCCTGGATATTTACATTTTTAAAAATTCCAGTATGATAGTGTTATATTAGTTTCAGCTGTACAATATAGTGATTCAACAATTCTATACATTACTCAGTGCTCATCCTGGTAAAGGTAGTCTTAATCCCCTTCACCTATTTCAACCACCGCCCCCCCTCACCTCCTCTCTGGTAACCATCAGTTCTCTATATTTAAGTCTGTTTTTTTGCATCTTTTTTTCTTTGTTCTTTGTTAATTTAATTCCACGAGTGAAAACATACAGTATTTGTCCCTCTCTTTTATTTCAGTTAGCATTATGCCCTCTAGATCCATCCATGTTGTTGCAAATGGCAAGATTTCACTTTTTTATGGCTGAGTAATATTCCACCGAACACACACACACACACACACACACACACACACACACACACACACACACAACTTTATCCATTCATGTATCAATGGACTTGGGTTGCTTCCATGACTTGGCTATTGCAAATAATGCTGCAATAAACATCGGGGTGTGTATAGCTTTTTAAATTAGTGTTTTAGTATTCTTTGGGTAAGTATCCGGGAATGGAATTACTGGATCATATGGTAGTTCTATTTTTAACTTTTTGAGGAATCTCCATACTGTTTTCCACAGTAGCTGCATCAGTTTACATTCCCACCAACAGTGCCAAAGGGTTCCTTTTCTTCCACATCCTTGCCAACACTTGTTTGATTCTTGTGTTTTTGATTCTGACAGGTGTGAGGTGGTATCTCATTGTGGTTTTGATTTGCATTTCCCTGATGATGAGTGATGTTGAGCATCTTATTTGTCTATTGGCCATCTGGATGTCTTCTCTGGAGAAATGTCTGTTCATGTCTTCTGCCCATTTTAACTGGATTATTTGCTTTTTGGGTGTTGTGTAAGTTCTTTATATATTTTTGATATTATCCCCTTATCAGATATATCATTTGCAAATATCTTCTCCCATTCAGTAGGTTTTCTGTTTTGTTGATAGTTTCCTTTGCTGTGCAGAAGCTTTTTCATTTTGATGTAGTCCCAATAGTTTACTTTTGATTCTGTTTCCCTTGCCTTAGAAGACGTATCTAGAAAAATGTTGCTATGGCTGATGTCAGATAATTTTTTTTTAAAAGATATTTATTTATTTATTTATTTATTTGACAGAGAGAGACACAGCGAGAGCAGGAACACAAGCAGGGGGAGTGGGAGAGGGAGAAGCAGGCTTCCGCGGAGCAGGGAGCCCGATGCGGGGCTCCATCCCAGGACCCTGGGATCATGACCGGAGCCGAAGGCAGACGCTTAACGACTGAGCCACCCAGGCGCCCCTGATGTCAGAGAGTTACTGCCTATGCTCTCTTTTAGGACTTTTATGGTTTAAGGTCTCTCATCTAGGGCTTTAATCCATCTTGAGTTTATCTTTATGTATAGTGAAAGAAAGTGGTCCAGTTTCATTTCTTTGCATGTAGCTATCCAATTTTCCAAATACCATTTGAAGAGACTGTCTTTTCCTCCACTGTATATTCTTGCCTTTTTTGTTGTGGATTAACCATATAATTGTGGGTTTACTTCTGGGCTCTCTGCTCTGTCCTGTTTGACCTCTGTGTCTATTTTTGTACCAGTATCATACTGTTTTGATTGCTATAGCCTTGTAGTATTTCTTGAAATCTGGGATTGTGATACTTGCAGTTTTGTTCTTTTTCAAGATTGCTTTGGCTATTGGGGCGCCTGGGTGGCTCAGTCGTTAAGCATCTGCCTTCCGCTCAGGTCGTGATCCCAGGGTCCTGGGATCGAGCCCCGCATCGGGCTCCCTGCTCGGCGGGAAGCCTGCTTCTCCCTCCCCCACTCCCCCTGCTCGTGTTCCCTCTCTCACTGTGTCTCTGTCAAATAAAATCTTTAAAAAAAAAAAAAAAAAAAGATTGCTTGGCTATTTGAGGTCTTTTGTGTTCCACACAAATTTTAGTATTATTTATTCTAGTTCTGTGAATAATGCTGTTGATATTTTGATAGGGATTGCATTAGATCTATAGATTGTTTTGGGGAGTATGTTAACAATATTTGTTCTCCCAATCCATAAGCATGAAGTATCTTTTCCATTTGTTTTTGTCAGCTTCAATTACTTTCACTGATGTTTTATAGTTTCCAGAGTACAAGTCTTTCACCTCCTTGGTTAAATTTATTCCTAGGTACTATATTCTTTTTGGTGCAATTAGAAATGGAACTGTTTTCTTAATTTCTTTCAGCTACTTCATTATTAGTGCATAGAAATGCAACAGATTTCTATATGTTGATTTTGTATCCTGTGACCTTACTGAATTCATTCATTGCTTCTAGTCGTTTTTTTTGGTGGAGTCTGGACATTGAATCTCCAAGATACTAAACACCTGTTCTTCCCAAATTAGCTCCCTTTCCCAACTTACTCTTACAAGTGATACCATCTGTCTTTCAAGCCTCAAAAATGGGAGTCTTCTTTCTTTGCTTTTCATCATCTCCCTTTTAGTCTATAAACTCTATAGGTATTTCTTGCAAAATATTTCTTACACCTATCCCTTTTGCTACTTATTGGCCCTTCTTCCCTAGTCCTTATTACAACTCATGCGTGAATTACTGCAACTTGGTAGCTGATTTCCATGTGGGCCAGCCTTCCTATTATTGTCTGTTCCTTAAACCACTTTCCTAACGTCCCTTTTCTGAAAGTCAATGCTTTGCTCTGTTTTAGAGTCCCAGTCAACTTCGAAGGCCCTCTATAATCTAGACTACTAGTTATACAGGCATACAGATGTCTTTTATGCAAGTTCTTACGGAGCAATGTCATTTTCAACAATAGCACACTGCTTTTGAGGCACTCCTATAGCATCTACAGATAAGCTACCAACAAGGATGTTTATGCTTTAGCAGATTGCCTCATGGTGCTGGAAGTCACCTCAGAAACCATTAGCTGAGCTGAATAAACTGAGATGTAAAAGAAGTACTTTCCTAAAAATTTAGTAGTTGGGGAAAAGTCAATAATTATCTGATCTTTTAAATGTCCAGATTAATTAATTCTAGGATAGTATTAGACCTTTTATTTTTCACTGATGTTATTTAATTAGACCCTCTCACAATTTTAACAAGCACAATTCCCAAAATGGACTTTAAAAGCTAAAATTACATTAATTTAAAATTAATTTAAATTACATGTTTAAATTAAAAAAATTTATTGGTAGAAAAAATCAAACAATACAGTAATAATGGATAATGCAAAAGGGTTTACTTTTGAAGATAGATGTATTGACAAGGTTTATTTCCTCATAAACAATGCATTTGTTCCCAATTCGGAGAACCTTACAATAGACAACTCTATCATCTTAAATTCTGCTAAGTAAACCCCATTAAATAATTATTGCTTAATTTTTGTGTCAGGCTATAAAAAACTGCATCTCTTCCTAAATTACATGCCCTTTGGAAGAACATTCTTTTTTTTTTTTTTTTTGGTGGTGGGGGGGGTCTACTTTCACAGAAAGTGATTTCTAATGTAAGTGAATAAAGTAAACCAATCTTTATCTGACATAACTGACAGTTAAAAATGAGATTCAGACTCAAATACTTTCCCAGATAATTGAGGTAATGCATGATAAAGCCATGGCAACTATTTTGTTAAACAAATTCTAGCTCAAGGAATGGTCTTAAATCTAAAATTTAATGCAAAATGAAGAGGCAAGGGAAGGCACTGTGACCATGACCGGTTGTACCAAGGACTTCCTCTTCTCAGAAAGCCATTGGAAAAATTTTCATGTATATTTGAGGAAAAAAGATGCAACTCACTGGCCCACTGTTGAGTAACAACCCTTTCAGAGTGCCGTGACATATTTGGTAATTTTACAACTAACATCTGATTTGGTGCCTTGGACTGCTACAACAGAATAAAACTATGCATATTTTCTTTTATTGTAGGTTCCAATGTCACATGGCCTTTGTTATTTCAAAACTAATAAATCCTTTAGTTTTGAAACATTTTCACTGATTGTTCTTTTTCTATGGCAACTTACCATTTACTTAAATGGTAGGATGCTTTTTCCAGAAAAGTCTTTATTCTAAATTTTGTGTGCATTTTTCTCCACCTAGAAGGATGCTAAACTCTCTAGGATCTTAATACTTTGCCTCAATGAACGACCATGTCTCAGTCTATTGTTAGTCTGGAGAGACCTGTACTTTTTTTAAAACCATGTGAGAATTAGGGAATATATTTATATTTATTAATAGTTTAAAGAAATGATTTTTCATAACTACATCAGATATAAAATGGTATAACTTTCCTTCAAAAGTAACCATTAACCTATGGTCAAGATAATCTAGAAATGTCAGATTTAAAATGTTTTTCTTCTAAATGTCTTTTAGAATTAATTGCTGTCATCTAGGCATTTTTTTTCTGTGTATCTCTGCATGTGTATATTTACATAAATGAAGGCCTAGGAGTAAACAGGATTCTCCCATACTCTTTACTCTCACAAGTAAATTCTTAATGTCAAGCATTAATTGCTACACAGTCTGAGATGTAGAATTAATAAAACTACATTTAACATTAAGTACACGCCAGAGACAAGATTATTTTCCTGTCCTCTGAAACAAATCAATGCCAACATGAGTTTGACCTTTTAATATTTCATCAAATTTTGTTAGAGGAGAACATCACCTTGTCTTCATGAAATCTTTTATCTAAAATCATATAATCCAGATTAAGTACATTCATTAGAATGTGTAACTTAATGTAAAAATTGGCCACTTGATTTTTTGCATCTCTTCAGATTGGCTCAATCTGAAAGACTGATATATCACTTCACATGCTCTCCAGCCTCTGTTTCTTAAACCTGACCACTTCTAACATAATATACAATGTATTTAGTATGTTAATTGTTTTCCCCAAAAACTTTCCTGCCCACCCTCTTTAGAATGTAGCTCCGAAAGGCAGGGATTTTCGTATTTGGGCTACTGGTGGATTTCCAAGTGCCCAGAACAATGACCGACACACCTAGTTAAGCACTCATTCACTGACTAAAACGAAGTTGTAAATGCATTCAGAGATATAACAGCACGGGGGTGGGGGAGCAAATCATCTTGCAGGCCACTTTAAGCTCTGAGTGCAATGAAGAGTGGGCTCCAGGATTTGGAGTAGAGAAGTGCTATAAAAGCGGATTCACATTTGGAAAGCACCACTCTAACTGCCGTACTGAGGATGGTCTACAGTAGGCGGGGGGGGGGGGGGCAAGGAGACAGTTACAAGGCAAATACAGTAGCCTGGGTGACAAAAAATGAGGGCATGGATCAGGATGGTAGCACTGTACAGGATGAGAAGTGGCTGAATTCTCGACCGTTCTGAAGGAAAAGCCAATAGCATTTCTGGATAGTTTGGAGGTGGGCTGTGAGAAAAGAGGAATCAAGGATGACAACACAGTTGTCCCAGCTTAAGTAACTGGAAGATTGGAGCTGTCGTCAGTGCCTTATGGAAGACTGCTGGAGAAGTACACCTGAAGGGAAGATGGGGCATGATGAAGAGTCAGTGTTGGACAGGTTATACTGAACTACAGCTGACACACAAAGTTGGACACGATATGTTTAAGGTGTTTCTGTTAGGCAGTCGCCAAGAGATGCCAAAGGCTGGTGGATCTGGGTGTGGCTGTAGTTGAGGGAAGGTTCCTGGCTGGGGAACATTAGAGGTTCACTGTGTATGAATGGGGTTTAATGAATGCAGAGAAGAATAAGGCCCGAGCACCCTGCAGTTGAAAAGTCTTTGAGAAGCAATGAATTTTATAACATAAATAGAAAGACTACCTGGTTCTTCTCAGGTAATAAACGTCCTGAAGGAAAAAAAAGAACCCATATTATTATCAGGTGATGTTACTTTATGAAAGATAGGTAAGGACAAGCAAATTATGAACATAATTTAAAGATAGAATTTATTCTCTGATGGTTTACTCATGCAAACTGCACATAAAAGAAAGTAGTACAGTTTGTGTAACATTGCAAATATAAGGACTCAAAATGCTAGGTACAGAAGTAGTGTGACATCCTGAAAGTCAAAATGGAATTTGTGTATACAACTAATAATGATTTTTATTTGCTGAATACAGACTGATTTACAATGAAAGTTTTGCTAACCTTGGTAAGTTCATTAACCGTTTACATGACTTCTTACATCTATGTAGTTTTATTTTACAGTTGCAAGAATTCCTGTTACCCAAAAACTTTAACTTGCATAAATAATAAAAGAAAAATGTACTGAAGGACTTAGGAGAGTGAAAAAATTGAGGCTTTACCTAACCCATCCAAACTACAATAAAAAATAGCCGCCTTGCAGAATTCATATTTTGTGCCTTTGAGATCAACTCCTTAGCATAACTATGGCAAAGTCACGATGAGAAATTCATTACTTTAAAATTATAAAATCAGTTTAAAATAAAAAAAATTTAGAAGTAGGATTATCAACTAAAAATGCTCACTTTTAATAAGCCAAACAATAAAAATCCTATTATCTTCATACCTAAAAGTTCTGAAATGTCATTTGTATAATTTGAATGTTTCCCAGTTTGGAACTTAGGCAGGTGGGATATTTCCTGGAATTATCAAGGATATTCGATATAGGTTTTTTAAATGTCAGTCTCATTAGGAGATGGCACTGAGACGTTCGTAAATAGTGTAGTATAGATGCAGAACTACACAACTTATTATAAATGCATTACAGTTATTTACATAATGGAATCCTGCTTGAATGCCAGAAGTTGCTACTGGGTAGGACTCATAACTATTTTACAAAGTTTTCTTACACACATCTACTACTTTATTTTTAACAATTTAGTCTATTTTAAAATATTGTACTGTATTTTGAACATAACTGCAGAATAAAAATAGATAATGGCACATTAGAAAACTCAGTATCCCACAGATGACTGGATAATGAGAAAAGTGTACCTACAATCATCTCATCAGAAACAAACTACATCATGGAATGTTAGTTATCCAAGCCTGCACAGTAATGACATTTTAAATTGCAATCATCTATTGGCCAGCATCACACTGAAGGCATCGTTAAACATTCAAGCAAAGACTGCTGGCATAAACTATTGAAAGAAACATACACACACACATTCTCTCTCTCTCTCTCTCATCCACTCTTGCTTCCCACATTATAATTACATTGTTCTAAAGATAGATACTGATTTTTTCCCACGAGAAACTTTATCAAAATTTGCTACTAAAAGATGACAGTGCTTTCACAAGAATAAGTACAAGTTAGCTTGCAAGTACAAGACAATGGGGGTAAACAGTCTTAAATTTTCTAAGTAATTTTTAGGCTTTTTCTGGCAACCATACCATACTTGATTATGCATAAACTTCTCAGTTTGTAACCTGAAATCTGCAAAAAAAACCAAAACCAAAACCTAATTTCAAAAAATTATTAAGATATTGGATAACCCTGTATCGTAGATTATATAATTTCATATTTTAATAGCCTCAAAACATAGGGTTTAAAACACTGAGGATTTGAAAAATAGTCATTTTGAAATGATAAAGGATTCCAAAATTCATGTCTACTTAAAATCTTAAAAAGAACACACGATTAATGATCTTGATTTAGTTTCAGAGTGTGCATAAAAGCATCGTATGTCTCTTACCATGTTTCACTCACTTAAAAAGTGTTCTCTAATGTTTTTCCTTTTGCATAATGTGCAAAATAAAAGGCAAAAAGATTAAAAGCAAATCTCTATCTTTCTCTTGCTAGTGCTTTATGACCTTGTTAACATTACAAAGTCAATAGGGACTACGCAGAACTTTGGTATAAATGATAAACAATACTACCATCACAGTTGAGGATTAAGAGGTGGTCAAAAGAAATGGAAGTGGGAAGAGATTCAGTAACACCCCCATTTATTAAAACACCACCAAATTAAAAGTGAAATAAACCACAATGAATTATAATACAATTTACACATTGAGCACAGGAAATTAATAAATCTAACAATATTTATAAAAAAAGCAAAATCAGTCTTTTTCCAGAGACTAAAAACTGTTGTTCAGTCTGAACATCAACTGCTGCTACACCAACTTTAGAGCCAAATTTAATTTCAAGTAAAAAAAAAAAAAAATTTACAACCACAGATTTCGCATAAATGGAAACTGGTCTTTCCTTGATTTCCCTTTGAAGTCACTAATGAGTATCTAAAACTGCCACACTGCAGGTTTTTAATCAACTTCCTGAGGGCTGTGACTGGGAGGCAGGAGCCATAGCTATCTGCGAGAGCGCAGGCTCTGTACTCTGGTCCGCCATCTGCGTGAGGACTGACGTGGCCACAGCTTCAGCCTTGGAGGTTGAACTGACTCCATTGGATGTGCTGACAGAACTATGCTGTATAGCTTCCGTATGTGGACTACTTGGCACTGACAGGTCTTCTGAACTATCATCTTTATCGGCGGCTGAGTGGAAAAAAGAAAAGTTACTGTTTCTTAAAGACATCTCTCTAAGAATGTGTCAGTCTCTGTCAGTATACAGAGTGAAAAGTTAGGCTTTTACAAAGTCGCTTATTGAGCTAAGTTGCTATGACTGGGCCTGAGTAAGCGAAAGGTGCCTGTAAGTCTGAAGTAGGCAATTTCACCACAACAGGTCAAATGAAGGTACAACCAGGCACAGGGAAGCATGTGCGTGCCCAGTGCCTCACAGAACAGAGCTGAAATATTTGCTAAATAGTGTTAAGAAAATCAGGTAGGAATTTGGGAAATAGCCTTGTCCTTACAGATATGATCAAACACTTATCAAGTAACACATTTAACAAAACCTGTGTCTTTGCCTACATGCCATTCTTATTAAAAGATAAAAAAAATTTACAACCACATGCATAAACAAAATGAATTCTTACATACAAATTATATTTTCCAATTATTCCCTCTGCATTCTCCAGAACTATATTCTGGCTGACTTTCCATCTACTGCAGCAATGGGTGATTACAACACCTGATTCTAATGATGCATCCACATGAGAATAAGCAATATTTAGAATCTAAATGCCACCAGCTGTTATAGCTGCATGAACTAATTGGGGTTCAAATAAAAAAATTATATAAAACTCTAGACACTGCAATGGAAAAGATATTCAGAAAGGGGCTTTCTAAGTATTTATGAAAAGCTACCAACTTTAAGGCTTGAACAATGAATCTCCTACACCTTTCTCATTTTAACAGGATGTAATCCAGCTACTTCATTTAGTGAAAAATTTGATATGCACAACACACAAGCATTTATAGCATATGTAACTCAGGAGATACAATGATAACATGAACCAATAACTGTGAACCCCGTCCCAAACTTAAGAGAACACTGCCAATAACAACGATGCTTCCTGGAGGCTCGTCTCCTCATCAAAGGTAATCAGCATTCCGATAGTTCTTTAACCATTCCCTTGTTTTTTGTTTGAAGCTTTACCAAATGGGTATGTCTCCCTGTACTATTACTTAGCTTTGTTCATCTTCGAACATCCTGAAAACAGTATCATACTGATGTGTTTTTATACTTTTCCCTTGGCATTAAAATAATTTTTATTTAGTGCTTAAAAGTAACAAGCAGGCTTTCTATCAAATCTCACAATGCAAACTGGCCCGCTTACTAATGAAAATCAATTATTAAAAGACTGTGGACCCTTAAAGCAGGACTCATCCTATGATTTGTGATGCAGAGGACAAGGGGAGGAACTTGGCCAGCTTGACTTCAATTTAAATAAAATTCCTCATTTTGAGAGTTTTCTGAAATACAGTACTTACAGAATTTTGACAAGTTTGCCTCAAATCCATGCATTTTTGTAAAGCAGTTTTTAAAATGTATTAGAATCCCATCTTCTCTATAAATCTGCTATAAATGCAAAATCACACCTCAAGATAAAAATTTGACCTCAAGATACAATAAAAAATCACAATCAATAATCCTTTTAAAATTATATAAAGCAGAAAGGATACTTTTCTGATGAAGCAATAACAAATGTTATAAAATATTTATAATTCAGTTAAACAGCCAATACAACAATTACGTGTTCAAAGAAACCCAAAGCCGGGCAATGACACTTTAACTGAAAAGAATACTAAAGAGTTCTCTTTTGTGCACCACTCTTCTTCAACAGGAACACTGACCTTTCTCTCAGTGTTAAGTTCTAGGGAACACCTGCTCTCAAAAATAAAGAGGCCGATCTGTGATGAGAGGTATAAGGAAATTTAAATATACAGTGGAGGCAAGGACTCCAAATGAAACAGTAAACTGTAAGGACAAGTGCCTATCTCCAGACATTCAAATTAGGTAAAGCAAATCCTTAGGCTGTTCAAAGCATCAGGTACTCACTTATAAATGACATAATTATAAATTTTATATATATATACAATATCTTTATAATGTGATATACCTGTACCTATGTCCACTACTTCTAGAAGGTCAGGAGAGAAAAATCATTAGTATAATCATAAGCACTCAAAAGATATGAGATCTTACTGCACTCCAAGAGCCATTTTCAGCCCTAAAGCTACAAAACCCCCAGCTATTTGACAATTCACACTATGAAGTTTTCTACCTATGTTCATACATATTTTCATTAATGAAAATATAAGCTCTCAATTACATTTAGGGCCCAAGAAGCTTTCCTTCCCACTTAAGATTATAGAAACAAGCAAAATACCATTTTAATTATGCCCAGAGATCTAGAAAATATGAATTAATGGTAATAAGATCACTCTTGTGCTTTATTCTTCATAGAATCCAAACATTAAAAATGTATTCATATTTTCATTCATGGTTTATACTATTTGATTGCTAATGTGACCCCAATTGTCAGGGTTTTCCCATGACTGAGGGGTTTCATTCTACAAGGTGGGGACTTCGAGCCTTAGAACTGAGACCCTATGGTGTGTGCTTTTATACTGTCACCTCTACCTGAAAAGATTTTGTAATATTCCTTAATTTCTATTAAACCTTAATTTCACAAATGTTTTGGAAGTGTTAACTATTACAGTTCACCACCATTAGCAATAGCTGTGTGCTACAACATGAACAGTGTTAGGTATCTGTGAATTTCCCCACATTTTCTCTAAGATTTAAATATTCACTTAGTCAATCTATCTACCTTGACTACCAGACAACAGAGAAGTCACATTTTTTCCTAAGACTTCAAGTGTGAAAAGAGAAATTACTTTAAAATTTCTATAAAACCCAATTATCTCCCAAGAGCTGAAGAGAACTAATTTTATGCTAAAACTAAATTTTTACTTCAGTCTATTTGATTATCTAGATGACTAGACAGAAAAAAAGGTAGGAATAACTCCAAACATCAAAAATGTCTTATTCATTTCTTACAGTCTATACAACCTAGCATAATACATATTCCCTAAAAACGTATTAATCTAGACTTTCAGTTTATTTAAGGGTATGTATGGCATATAAACCCATACATCTATAATCTTCATAAAAACATCTTTATAAATTATTGCTTAAAATGAAAAATTGGCTTGCCTTTGCTGAGCATATGCTGCCTTGATTATAGAGCTAAAACTGCTGGGATTATCCAAGAGATTATCTAAGATTAAAAAATTGCAGAAGAGAAATTTTTAGTTGGATGTAACTGAAAAATTCATTTTCCTTCTAATTTTGTAGAATCATTTGTATATTTCTTTTTGAACTATCAAAATTCAAGAGAGCTCTCTTGTTAAGAAAATCATATATGCATAATGCTGAACTCAGTAGCTTCCATAGGAAATTATGTTGTTAAGTCAGATGGGAGCCATAATGGCTTCATCCCTGCAGCAATCATTGTTAATACAAACCCCAAACATATTTCTACATGGGTCCAATTTACTCCACAATGTGTTTCACCATCCCGTGAAAATGACTAGATATCAAAGGGCTGAGATTTATTTGCTCAAAACTGACAAAAATCAATGTTCTAAAAATATATGGCAATAGAGTGTTGCTAAATCTACTGAATCTTTTAAATTAAAAAATATTGCCCACTCTGATGAAACTGCTTACAATGACTACAAGTAAAGATGGTGGCCATTAAGTTTTATCGTGAGCACCTGAGGAACTGTTTGCATCCAATACAAAATGTTTCTTTCTTTTGAATTACTGACACTGGCAAATTAAAATGAAGTGGATACATATGGTTGAAACAATCTTCACATTTACAAATATCCTGAAATATCACTAAATCATAAAAACGAAAGCTGTGGGTTATATATTATGAATGTTGCCTAATGCATCCCCAGCTCTGTTATTTGTTACAAATTTGTGTACGATGGACAAAATTGGCCATTTATTCAAGAGTAACAGCTGGCTCCAATATTGTGCATCTTTTCAAAAAAGAAGGACATTACAAGAAGGAAAAAACACAATTAACCTCTAAAATGCTGAAAAGAGAGGAATCTCATTTTGGGGAAAACATGTAACAGAAAACTTACATAGTGTTCTATTTTACCATTTTTATGACTAAAAGCCTCAATATAAAGATTTACAACCATATAAAAATCGCACAATGCTGGTATTTAATAAAGAACAAAAGGATCTGATACTGTAAACAGGTACTATATATTGTTAAGTGAAGACAATTAAATTAAAAAAAAATTAGTGAATGGAGGGCTGGAGAAGAAGTAGTATTTCACTCTGTCATTCTAAGACAGAATGCTACTCTGGGAAGACAAAATATCATCAGTATTTACACTATGTTTTAAATTATTAACTTGGGGCGCCTGGGTGGCTCAGTTGGTTAAGCGACTGCCTTCAGCTCAGGTCATGATCTCAGGGTCCTGGGATCGAGCCCTGCATCGGGCTCCCTGCTCGGCAGGAAGCCTGCTTCTCCCTCCGACCCTCCCCCTGCTTGTGTTCCCTCTCTCGCGGTCTCTCTGTCAATTAAATAAATAAATAAAATCTTTAAAAAAAAATTATTAACTTGTTTTGTTGATGTGTAATAATCCCTAGAAAAAAAGCTAGAAATAGGAAAATCCAAAAACTCTGATTCTAAGAAGTATATTCCCCATTCCATAATAACCTTGCAGAAGTTCTGATATTTAATATTAAATATTAGAATTGTGGTCTCTTTTTTTTTTTTTTTTTTAATGGTAGCTTGGTTCGCTCTGACAGTATTTCACTGATGTAGCCTAAGGCTATAGGTAATGGAACATTACTCACTATGATAGCCAGATTTCTTCTGCATGGCGGTTACAGGGCAATCTTTATGAGCCAGAAGAAGCTGTTTCAGCTGTGCCACTTCATTTCTCAGCAGGGTGACTTCACTCTAGAAAAGAAACAACTTATGTACCTTAACAGCATCAGACTAAACATTTCTTACTGTTTATAACAAGTGAAAATTAAGAATATCGGTTATCTTTAACAGAATATCAAGGAATAAACAAAATATACTGCTTAAATAGGTTTAATCAGTACAAATCAGTTTTCATATTTTAGCATCTGTACAAAGACTGCAACTTGTATAAAAATTTAAATGAGATAACGACATGACTGGATAACATATTTCAAAGTTTTCACATTACCATTTGCCTTGGGATTGCTTATATATTACAGGTTACCTACAGAAGGTATTTTTTACTTATGTTGCATGTTCTTTAGATTATGTGAAAAATTAGAAACATCAAGGGAGTCAGAATGAATTTTCACTGACTCTGTGCACTTGAAAATGAAAAATTTATCCTGGAATCTAAATTAGGCAAGTTTCTAGTTTTCCAGAAACTATGAAGAGCTCCACAGGGGAGACCACAATAACCAAAGAATCATGGACATCTAAAATTGAGCAAGGCACTGTGTTGGACACGGAACCAATGAGAGTAGATGTAATATCTAAATGGCTTAGTTTCCCTCAATCTAGGTAATTTGTACACATCTAAATTTAATCTGATAAATTAATGGTGAATTGTGCTAGTTATTTTTTTTTAACGATTTTATTTATTCATTTATTTTAGAGAGAAGGAGGGCACAAGCAAGGGGAGGAGCAGAGGAAGAGGGAGGGGGAAGAAATCCCAAGCAGACTCCGTGCTGAGCCCAACATGGGGCTCAATCCCATGGCCCCGAGATCATGACCCGAGAGTTGGACGCCTACCTGACTGAGCCACCCAGGCACCCCTGACCTAGTCCTTATTAAAAAATGAGCACTTCAGCCTTTGTTTTGGATGGATTATTCTGGTAAATTCTATATAAAACATACAAACTAAGAGATTCCATTTAATTCCTCTTGGTCACCCCCAAATATTAAAGATGCATCAATTAGTGATAATTACTAATATTCAAGCGTTAGAAATAATATGAATTTAATAAAATGGTAAACAATACTTAATTTACAAATACCACTACTTATTTGAACTGACATTAACCTTAAGTATTCAGATTTCATCTATGAACCCAAAATTAAAGAAATATAACAAGCATATGTACTTTTGTAAAAGCTCGGGCACTTTGTTTTCCATCCCTTGGTCTCCTAACCATAAAGCTGGATGTAAAGTAATTTAGATTAGATTCATTAGGTGCCCTTAAGTGATCAATGACAGAAACATAAAAATTCAGAGAATAAAAGTTAAGCAAGTCTGTTGGTTCAAATAGTTCCTTGCACCCCTATAACAACAAACTGCAACAATACACTAAAGCACAGAACAAAACCTGATGCTCACAGTAACTTTAAAGGCTAAATTGTGTTTACAATATTGTATTTGATACAAGAATAGGCGTGTAGTGATCAAAAATACAAAATGAGAATTTTTAGACTTTAGAGCTTTGCTTTAAAAAAATAAGCTGTTTAGAAAACTCATTTCTATGGGCACGCCTGGGTGGCTCAGTCATTAAGCTCTGCCTTCTGCTCAGGTCATGATCCCAGGATCCTGGGATAGAGCCCCGCATCGGGCTCCCTGCTCAGCAGGAAGCCTGTTTCTCCCTCTCCCTCTGCTCCTCCACCTGCTTGTGCTCGCTCTCTCTCTCTCTCGCTGTGTCTCTGTCAAATAAATAAAGAAAATCTAAAAAAAAAAAAGAAAACTCATTTCTATGGAACAGTGCAGTCATTAGGTCAATATGCTAATTATATAGCTCTATTAATGACATCAAAAATGAGAAACCATGTTATGAATAATCTAATAGATAATACCTAAATTTCTCCCTCTCTGCTGTGTCAGCTTGATTTTGAGACTCCTAACAGGTTTCTCTCATTAATTTCTGTAATATGAAAGAGGGCTGGATATGTATTTTTAGTCCACAATATATAATCTCTTATAATCTGGTGCCTGTGACCACTCTTTCACATTAGCTTTAACCTATGGGAAAAAAAAATTAATATTTAATCGTTTTGACCTATACAAACTGGTGTTGTAAATACACAACGTTGTCTCTACCTAGAAAAGCTTTCCTCTCCTTTTTCTTGCCTTGCGAATTTTTTTAATTCATCTTTAAGAGTGAAATCAGTACAGTGTAAATTTGGATAGGAAAAGAACTCCATTTCTGTGCTCCCAGATCCATACGCACATACATGTGTACATTTACCTAGTATTTACTACACAGGATTGTTAATTTTTGGTTTACTTGCTCACCACCTCTGCCAGATTGGGACTTTCTCAAGGGCAGGGATGACTTTTGCTCTTTGTATCCCCAGGGTAAAGCACACAGCCTACTACAGACTGAGTACATAGTTATATTTTAGAACCATGAATAATTCTATGTCCAGGGGAGAGGAAAAAATTCCAAAGAAGGTGAAATGAAGTTGCTTAAATAATATAAAACTGGTCAGAGGTCCTAATTTCATTATTTATACCAACAATCTCGCCAACGTAGCTGCATTGTTAATTTTCTCAGACATAAAATGAAAATTGGCATATTTTACAGTATCATCTCAATTTTTAAAAGTCTTAGTTTTTAAAAATCACAAATGCCCTTTCTCCTAAATATTCTATATAGACATTCAGCATAAACCATATGAGGATTTTTTTTGTCAAAGTAAACATTTTTGGTAAGATAAAGCAGATGCTGAAAAAAATTGTTATTCTGGCCTAAAATAAAATGTAAATTACTTTGACATTGTCTATACCATTGCTCCATTCCATCTGTAGCTACTCAAAGGTTAATTATATACTATGAACAAAAAAAAAACCACTTTTTTTTTTTTTTTTTACAGATTATGTGAAGCAGATTAGACTGATGAAATCATGACAGACTAGCCAACTGATGAATCTATCAAAGCTTTTCATCGATACCTGGCCATAGATTGAGGACCCAGTATTCCATAAATTTATGATCTTTGACTTCTAGTTCAGCCAATACCCCCAACATTAAAGAAATAATATTGGATAGGTATGATAGCAATCATCACTGCTAAAGGTATGATTTTCTTCACGTTTACAGTCTTCACAAAAATCAATGATTAAGTATCAAGATTCCCATCACACAGTGCCAAGGACTGTCACGAATGTAAAACTTTATACTGGAGAACAGGATATTTAATTTATGTCCGGAAATATTTATGTCCGTAACAATAGAGAAAAAGATGACAGGTTTCTTAATACTTTGGAAATACCTTGCAAAATGAATGGGAATGACCCTTCTCTTATTCTCCTTCAGAGTATTCTCATACTTTGTTTTGTGTCTGTCTCCTCTGCTAGACCACAAATTCTGTAAGCGCAAGGACAATGTCTCTTTCACTGTTATATCTCCTGTGTCTAATAACATGCCCTGCACACAATAGATGCTTAATGACAGAATGAATAACAAGTTTGCATAGTGTAGTTAGAACAGACTTCTCTATACCCTCTCTCTCATCTGATCTTCATAACAGGACTTACTCTGTGAGTATGACAGATGGGGAAGTAAAGGCTCAAAGATTTTTAGTAAGGCCTAGTAAAAAGAAGTACTAAGGTCTCAGGCCCATAACAAAATGCATGAAGTAGTAGTGGCATCAGTTACCCTTCCCCCTCTAGAGCTTGGTTAAAACTCAGGGGAAAAGAAGCACGGTAGTGATAGCATAGAATACGTTTTTTTTTTCTTCCAGGAATTAAAACAAATAGGTTTAACAGGGGTGCCTGGGTGGCCCAGTCAGTTAAGTGTCTGCCTTCAGCTCAGGTCATGATCCCAGGGTCCTGGGATCGAGCCCCGCATCGGGCTCCCTGCTCCGCAGGAAGCCTGCTTCTCCCTCTCCCACTCCCCCTGCTTGTGTTCCCTCTCTCGCTGTGTCTCTCTCTGTCAAATAAATAAATAAAATCTTAACCCCTCCAAAAAAAACCAGGTTTAACATCTTCCAATTGTCACCATTCCTTTATATTTCAAGTGATAAATACTGAAATAAAATACTATTTGGGTATCAGAAATAAAAGATTTAATCACAATAGAGCAATAACAAAACCTTTTCTGTATCATTAACTTATGAGTGAAAATTCCTCACATATCCAGATGTGAAAGAATGCTTTTTTTTTTAATTTATTGAGCTTCTACTCCACACACATTTTGCAATACCCGTTTTAAAAGCAAAATCCACAACAAAAACTCCCAAGTTTTATACAAAGAGTAACTGTTAAGGAGATACTGTTAGTAAAGAATCTGCCTAAAGGAAACATGCTGAATTTGTAAGCTGAAAACAAAATTCCAAAATGAGGATAAATGAAAAAGCCACAAAGAGGTGAAAACTCTTTCAAGTAAAAGACAATAAAACCATATATTATCTTTAAAAATATAATAATTGATAATCAACAGTATCCAAGTTTGGGTCTAGATTGCCATGTCTCTAATACAATTTGATGAAATTGTCTTTTTAGCTACAATTTTAGAAAGCTAAAATATAAATTCAGTGAGTGGGGCAAGAGAGTTGAATAATTAATGTTCTTTGAAACCTAATATGTATTTGGTAAAAATACGTATACAGTCACACCTCAACACTCGTTAAGATTTATTTGTAATATGTAAGTAACCATGGGTCATTACTGCCCACTATACTGATCAGCTAAGCCTGTATGTCACGTGAGGGATTATTAAGGAAATGTAGAATTGATGAATGTTTTCACATAAAGTAGAGTTTAATTATTTCTCTGACATTCAATTTTCTTTACAAGTCATTTTGTTCTTCACAGTTAACGGTTTTGCTGTTGGCAGACTGAAATTTTTTCTCCCTGAATCTATCATAAGCATGTTATTAACTCTTTATACTCTGATAACCAGAATGGCACTTTTTAAAACTGTTTTTGTTTTATTTGGTAACTAAAAAACAACAAAAAATAAAAATCATTTATCCACTTGAAACAACAGAGAAAGTCATAACTGAAGCTCCTTTCTCCCAAACCATTCATACTCTCAACAGCCTCTTCACCACTTATTCCTGGTACATGTCATTCCTAAAATTCTACTTACAATTTAGGGATTCATCCTATACCAATTTTCATATCTACACATTTATCCATCTAACTACAAACCTTTTATTTATGAAAAAGAGTTGTGCTATTTTAGTGTACAACTATTTTTTTGAGTAATTTACTGAGGTGACATTCCCATGAGCTAGAATTACCATTTTATTTTTTTAAAGATTTTTTTATTTATTTGTCAGAGAGAGAGAGAACACCAAGCGAGCACAAGCAGGAGGAGTGTCAAGCAGAGGGAGAAGCAGACTCCTCACTGAGCAGAGAGCCCGATGCAGGGTTTGATCCCAGGACCTTGCATGACTCAAGCAGAAGGCAGATGCCCAACTGAATAAGCCACTCAGGCGCCCCTAGAATTAACCATTTTAAAGTGAGCAATTCAGTGGTGTTCAGTACAGCAGCCACCTCCCTCAATCTGGTTATAAAACACTTCTGTCAGTCCAAAGTAAAACTCCTTACCCATTAACCAGTTTCTCCCTATTTTCTACCACCCCACCCCCTGCCCCCGTTCCTGGCAACCACCAATCTGCATTTATCTCTATGGATTTCTCTGTTCTAGATACTTTTTTTTCTTAGAGAGAGAGAGAGAGAATCTTAAGCAGGCACCACACCCACGTGGAACCTGATGTGGGGCTTGATCTCACTACCCTCAGATCATGATCTGGGCCGAAATCAAGAGTCTGACACTTAACTGAGCCACCCAGGCACCCCTCTTCTAGGTATTTCATATAAATGGAGTCATAGGTGGCTTTGTTTCTGACTTCTTTAACTTAAGCAAAAATGTTCTGAGGTTCAACCACATTCTAGCATGTTCATCCACATCCACTCCCCTTTTTATGGCTGAATAATACTCTATTGTATGTATATATTGTAATTTATCCATTCATCTACTGATAGACATTTGGGCTGTTTTCAACAACTTCCTTTTTACCCCTAACAATATATTATAGATAATTTCCTAGGTTAACATATACATATGAACTTCATTCTTTTTCTTTTTTTTTGTATAAGTATTTTAAAGAACATCCCTTAGGGGATGCCTGCGTGGCTCAGTCAGTTAAGCATCGGACTCCTGATTTTGGCTCAGGTCATGATCTCAGAGTCCTGAGATCCAGCCCCATGTCACCCTGCTTAGTGGAGAGTCAGTCAGCTTCTCTCCTTCTCCCTGCCTCTCCTGCTGCCCCTCCCCTAGCTTTCTCTCTCCCCTCTCTTGCTCTAAGATGAATGAATGAATAAATAAATCTTTAAACAGAAGAAAAATAAAAGGAAGAAAGAAAAAACAGAATGAAGGAAATAATCTTAGTGCTGTCTGATACCATCACCGGAAATCTTAGCAAAGACTGAACAAGGAGTCTTAAAAACCTTTATATCCCCCATGAGGTTCCTAAGAAACCTATCTGGGGCACACTGGCAGGGAGTATGAAATGATTTCTACTGCCACTGGCCATATTGTACCTGTTCTGTGGATAAATAGAGCCCTTCAGTTTCCAAAGCTGTCAATCTGACATTTTTTCCAAGCACTACATTCATTCTAAATAAACACAACAAAATTTATAGTTCAAAGAACCAAAGAACTTAAAAATACTACTGAAGCAACTTTATAGTTGTGATAGAAACCAATAAAAATAGAAAAGTGAAATACCAGTGATATTTTAAATTTTAAGATTCTTTGTTTGAACTTTATATACCACAACTTTACAAAGTTTAAGCCAGATAGTTTTCATACTTTTGTAGTATACAAGTAAAAACTTGTATTTAACATTTCCTTATTGTGTCAGTGTTGCAGGTTTTATATTACTTCATCTCAGTATTCAAATAGGTTTACAAAACTGTGTTTTACTATAGATTCCATACACACCCAATATTGTGTGCTAAAATGTCTGGATGGCTAACTGGAAAAAACAGGGAAGAGCTAAGTTCACAATTACTAAAAAGAGGACAACATTTACATATATGCACCATACCTGCAGTTGACCATTTAATGAACTCAAGTCTTCTGCCTTCTTCTCTAAAGACTGAACCCAGACTTTCCTTTTTTGTCGGCATCGTGAAGCTGCTGCTCTATTTCGCTCTAGAAATTTCCTCCTTTTTTCATCAGGATCTTCATTAGCTGCTCTTCTTCTACGACCACTTGTATTTTGGGTCTGTGGAGTTGTGTGAGCTGGAGAAGCCTATAATAAACACAAATGGGAGCTTTTTATGTTTGTATCTAGTGAGTGAGAATACAGGCAGTAAAGAGTGGCAGAAGAAGAAGAGCTACTAACTTTGTTTTCTAAGTCTCACTGTATACATCAATATTTTGGGGTGACATGAAAATCACCCTGTGCTTTAACAAATTCCTTGAAATAAATAAGCACTGCTAAAATAAGATTCTCATTAATTCACTATCACAGTGAATATATTTAAAGTTTGTATAACATTTCATTTATATAGAAATAATATGAAGAAGTTGAAAATGCAATACAAACAAACATGTATAGATCTTATATTTCTCCAAGTGTACTTTTTAACACTATGGTATAATACAGTCCTTTGAAAAATTATAAGGTCCTAAAGTAAAAAATTTAATAATTTACTAAAATTCACTATGAAAAACCATTTACTTGCTATTTTTCAAATAAAATTTTTAAAATAAATACTAAAATTTTCTCTTAAAAATTGGTTTCTCTAAAATTGAGGAGTAAAAAATTGAGGAGTAAAAGTACAGTAGTGCCCCCTTATCAGCAGGGGATATGTTCTAAGACTCCCCTGGATGCCTGAAACCATGGACAGTACTGAACCCAATATATACTATGTTTTTTCCTATGCATAGATACCTATTACAAAGTTTAATTTATAAATTAGATATAGTAAGAGATCAACAATAACTAATAAAATAGAACAATTATAACAATATACTGTAATAGAAGTTATGTGAATGTGGTCTCACTTTTAAAATATTGTACTGTACTCACACCCTTCTTCTTGTGATGATATGAAATAAAATGCCTACGTCATGATGTGAAGTGAGGTGAATGATAAAGGCACTATGACACAGTGCTAGGCTACGAATGACCCTTCTAACAATCTGTCAGAAGGAGGATCATCTGCTTCTGGACCACAGCTGACCATGAAAAACCGAAACCTCGGAAAGCTAAACCGTGGGTAAGAGGGAACTACCACATGTACATATTTTGGTATACTCAGCTTTTCTTCAGTTTTTGAAATTTAGGGTCAGGTTCATTATTGATGCTCATTTTCCTCGTGGGCAGAATCCCACAGGAGCTCAGATTTTAATTTTAATTGGTTCCCCTTGCCCCTCAACAGATCAGCCTAGTTACTTCAGATCAGCCAAAGACCGTTTCAGTCGCTAGTGATATTGCCTCGTATCTGGGACTACAGAACAGTATTTCCAAACCTCTCTCAAATCCCAAAATTGTGCCACAGAACACTCTTGAACTTGGGAGATAGGAAATGAACCCTTGGAAATAGTGCAAAGGAAATGGCACTTTGTGACCACAGGCATATGACCCAAGGAAACCTGAAAACAATCTTTTACCTGTAATTATATTCTAAAATGGTGTAAACAAATAAAACTTCTATCTTCTCCTAATCTACATAATACGCAGAAGTCTTATACATAAGCTCAACATAAGTTCTGCAGGGAAATCACCAAACTAGTTCTCACTCTACAAACTCCAAAAAACATATGTTATCATTTAATTCCTTTTCCAAATGACTAGCATTAAAAATTCTGAGGGTAATTTAATTTATACTGTATTTTAATTGTAATAAAGATTAAGTATTAAATTAGATCATTTCTTTTACGTACATAATTGCAAGTTAATCTTTTAGAAAAATATTTCTATGGCTTGCTTCAAGAATGGCAACCTTGAAATATTTTCTTTTCTTCATCCTCTTAACTTATTGATAATAGCAGGTTTTTTTCTTTTACTCATTGGCTGAATAGGAAAGAACAGTTTTTTTTTTAATTGACAACTCAGTTATTACAGCAAAGGCTAATCACAAGTATTATAAGCAGAAACTAATACAGAGTTATCTTTGTACATTTTTATACCTAACAAGGATTTAAGGCTCCTTAAAAAGCATATATTCTTCCCACTCTCCCTCCTTCCATTGATTCATTCATTTCACATTATTAAAAAGAACATAGGGACTATCCTAGAAACTAGTGATACAATAGTAAACAAACAGATAAAGTCCTGCCTTCATGAAGCTCCCATCCAATACAAGGATATAAATAAAAATTAGATCCAGGTAAACTATAGTTACTATAAGAAAATAAATTATATACTCATTTCTTTTTTTTTTTTTTAAAGATTTATTTATTTATTTATTGGACAGAGAGAGACAGCGAGAGCAGGAACACAAGCAGGGGGAGTGGGAGAGGGAGAAGCAGGCCTCCTGCTGAGCAGGGAGCCCGATGTGGGACTCGATCCCAGGACCCTGGGATCATGACCTGAGCCGAAGGCAGACGCTTAACGACTGAGCCACCCAGGCGCCCTATACTCATTTCTTTTAAATACATTTTAAAGATGTAAAAACCACACATAGCTTGCAGACCACATGAAAAAATAGCCATGGGCTGGATTTGGCTCCTGAGTCAGTTTGCTCATCTCTGAATTATGACAGTAAAACATACACACTTATTTTCCTTCTCTCTAGGCCCCTAAGTTGTTTAGTGGATGACTACCACAACTACATTCCACTTTATTCTAAGTTTTGTGAAGATAAAATAGAGTTATCTAAAAAGTAACGATTATGAGGCAATCTAAACTTGCCATTTACCTGTTTCTCTAACTGTAAAGTTTTGTTTTTTAATGCCAATGCTAGTATTAAGTATCCTTAAGTATCTTTTATCTTAAAAGTTCTAAATAGAGTTCTAAACAGAGTTCTAAAACATTTAGCAGAAATACAGTAACCAACCCTTCCATGTAGAAATGCACTACACATAATAGACATATCAGTCATCTAATATGCAGTCACAAACTAGAGATAAATGAAAAGGACCTCTAGTATAAAGAGTTTCTATAAAGCATATATGTCTGCTCCTTTGGCGATGTTTCTCAAATTTTAATTCAAGAATCATTTGATTTATGTTAGTAATGTAATAAACACACCCACATGCACACATTACTTGCTGAATACAATCAACAGAAAAAAAATGATTTAAAAAAATATCGATGGATATTTATGTCATGTCAGGCCAACAAACACAGACACCTACAGAAGCATTTAAAGGGTGTCCTGATCAGTAACAACTGTTCAACTATTTTATTTATTTATTTATTTTTGAGTACCAATACTTTTACAATGAACTACCTTTTCCTAAGGTTTTTGGTATACTTTTGAACTATGACCAGAAATAATTTTTTTCAAAGCATATAAAATAGTCATTTAAGTTACACTGTGTTTGTTTTTTAAAAGACGATAAAGTACGAATGATAAAAACAACACACATACCGGAGTTTCTGTAGTGGATGTAGCTGGCTGTTGTAATGACTGTGGTCGAGATTCCTCTGACTGAGTTCTAACCAATCCGCTACCATGACCTTTGACAGTATCACCATTGGTAACTGGAGGATGTTGCTGGGTCAAAGCAGCTTTTAATCTCTGAAACGCAAATACCAATTAAAAAAAAGTTCCCTGCTTTCCACTCAAATCCAACTCCCAACATATTCTTTGGTTAACAACAACAAAATATTTGTTAAGGAATGCATATGGCTTTAAAATTAGTTTTATCATTACAAATAATAAGACAAACACTTTGAGAAGCTTTCCTGAGTCTGTCTAGTACTACTAGAGGATTTTATACTCTGCTGTTCCTAATCAATTTTGAGAAAAGACTGAAAAATAAAAACACTGTTGACTGAAAATAATCTACCTCTGTTCAACTAAAATAAGCAATACAAATTATGTACATTTTCACCTATTTTCTTCCACCTCTTCCTATACCTCCATCTTCTCAGGCTCTCCCTAGATTCTTAAACCCAAACCTCTTCCAAATTTGGGCCCAACTGATCTCTGCTTGATGGTCTGATGTCAGTGCCCATTTGGACAACAACCTGATGTTGCATTTTTTAGGCCACTATATTAACTGTCAGACTGAACCTCCTCCTACAACCTACAGCTAGGTTTACCTCCCTGAGGTCTTCCCTGTTTCCAGTAAGCAGATTTAGTTCCAAGTCTATCCCCTCTACTATGTTCCATTTGCCAGTTAACTGAATTGCACCTGACCCACTGTCAGAGGATGAGTGATCTAGTGTTAGGAGGCGGCCCTAAACATTTATGGCTACCTCTTAACAAAGATACAATTTGCATAAAGTTTCTTATTCTACCAGCAAAAATATATCATATATGAATATCTTATCTCCTCAACCAGACAGTAAGCTCTTTGAAGAACAGATTGCCTTATCTTTCTTTGCACCCCTTTTAAGCAACTGGTATACTGATTTGCTACATGACCTAGCAACACATGTATTTGTTAACTGATAGAAACTGGATTCATTGGCAAAAATGGCACAAGTGATATTTGGGTTAGTTTTTTTTGTTAAAAATATATAAATATGAAATAATTAGCATAAGATAATCATACTATAATATCTTAGAAATGTTAAAAAAAAAAAAAAAGAAATGAAAGGGACCCAGAAGACCAGGGACTATTTTTGTTGATATTGTTCTTAGTAACTGAGACGTATAGTCCTTAAGCCCAAAATAAAGTTTCATCACAAAACTTGATACAGATACATCCATTACATTTTCCTAAGATCCACACTCAGGTGCATATTTGAATGGGAAGGAGGCTACAAAACTGATAAGAGGAATGTGTTACAGTCTATCCAGTGCTTCCCAAACTTCTCAGAAGTTGTATTTGGCTGGGCATTACAAACAGATTTGCAGCAAACTTTCTCTCTCCCTTCCTAGCACAGGGAGGGGTGGGAAAGAGGGAAGAGCTTTTGAAAGAGGCCCCCGGATGATTTTAGTACAACTGCTTTCATTTACTCGAACTAAGAGCTTAGAAAATTGTACAGCCATCTCCAAATTTGTAATTTGTTTTCATTTATGTATATCTCCTTACCATCTATAAGTGATCCAGACCCCTGAAAAACTGAAGCATACATGAAAATGTCACTAAAAGTTCCCGAGGCAGTAATTATACCTAGACAAGTGTTACTGGACATTTTCTCTCTACCGCTAATTCATTGTAGATTCTGGGTATGATTTTAAAAACAAATCAGTACTTTAAAAAACAAGTTTACTGGGGCCCCCGGGTGGCTCAGTCAGTTAAGTGTCTGCTTTCAGCTCAGGTCATGATCCCAGGATCCTGGTAGAGAGGCCCTGTGTTGGGCTCCCCGATCAGCGGGGAGTCTGCTTCTCCCTCTGCCCTGCCCCCTCCCCCCATCATGTTCTCGCAAATAAATAAAATCTTAAAAAAAAGTTTACTGAGGTATAAATTACATATAGTAAGATGAAGTCTTTTTTGTACATAGCTCTAGGAGCTTTAACAAGTGCATACAGTTGTGTAACCACCCCCTACAATCAGGATACAGAACAGTGCTATTATTCCCCCAAATTCCCTCACACTTCTTTCCTGCCATACTCTCTTCCCACCCCCAGCCCCTAGAAACTACTAATCTGTTTTCTGGTCCCCAAAGTTTTGCCTTTTCTAGAATGTCATATAAATGGAATTACACAATGTTAACAGTCTTTTGAATCTGGCTTCTTTCTTTTAGCATAACGCACTTGAAATTCACCCATGTTATCAGTATTTTTTCGATGAGTTTCTAATAGGACAGTGTCCCTACTTTACTGATTGGGAAACCAGAGATCATTTGCCTAAGGTTACATAAGTGTCTAAGACGCAGGAAATTGAAACACTCATAACTGATGGAATTAATATGGGCGTGGACGGATTAAACTCAAGTTAGATAACGGATTAAAGGAGTAGTTGGCTGCAACCAGACGACGACTTAGGCCAAGGGGTCAAAGAACTCAAAATAGAAAGGTAAGAGTTTGAAAGTGTAGGGCAATATAAACAGAACAGAGGAGGAGGAAAATCAGGGGAGGTGGTCAGTCTGCATAATTACATCTTTTAAAAACAGTGTTACACATCACAATACCGTAAACAGTACCCGGTCTACAGTGTTAGGTTACAGGGCTTTCATTTCTGGATATAAAATGTGCATAAATATAAGTAGTAGTTGAGATGTGAAGCTTGGTAAATTATGTGTTGATAAAACTGAAAGTCCTTAGGTTAGAAAACATCATGGAACTGAAGAGCATTTAAAATTTTATAGTGAAGAGCTTAACTCTTAGAATTAATGAAATACAGTAATTGCACATAGGGGAGTCTGCAGTACATAAACATCACTCTCTTGAATAATCTTTAGTAGGGCAAGTTACTACCTTATAGAGCACTTAAAAGCAGCACCAGTATTCATTCATTATCCTCCCTTGACTGCCCTAGTGTATACAGTACTCACCCAGTGAGGAAGCCCTAATGTTTGCTCCATGCTGTTACACTGATTACAATGGGTCTGACTTAGAAAGTGTGCCAGTGGGTACAAAACTTAAGAAAAAGATTTTCAAGGGTTAATTAACACTGCTCTGAATGGCATATATATGTATTTTAAAGAGCAGTAAAAAAATATGTGTATGCAAAAAAATTTAGAATGGGTTAGGTGAAAAAAGATGTCACTAAATAGGATTCATGAAAATTTTATAATATAAGGATATCTACAATCCACCCATATATATTTGTTAGAGACATCTTAAAAGAACGACTAACAGTGTGGTTCAAAAATATTAATGAAAACATATATAAATACCATGAATATTTTTTCTACAATAGAATTTTAGAACTAGAAGATATACTGATGATCAATTAGTCCAATCATCAGCTTGTTACACAAAGGCAAACTAAGGTCCAAAGAGTGAATGAAGTTACTTCCCAGAATCAAAAAGTTAGAAGCAGAGCAAGGACCAGATATTCTGTCTGTTAACTCCTAATTCACTGAACATTATCTTCAAAGTTTTGCCAAACTAGAGCTTTTGCCTATATGAAGTATTCTAAGTATATCAGCAATCAGTTAAGAAGAGTATCAGATATTTCTCTCAATACAGAAATTCAATGAAAAGATTGAGTACTCAGAGAAATTAATAAGATCCAAAATGTCTGTATTCTCCAATATGTACAATAAAGCTTAAGCATAATTTTAATTTTAAACTAGAGGCATTGTTTGAAAGAAAACTAAAATATCTTTAAATACTGTATTTCTAAGCAGACTACTGTTTTAATGTTTGGAATTAACTTCTAGCAATGTAAAATTCAACTACTACATTGAAAACCTTTTTCTTAGAAATAAACTGTGTCAGTCAACAGTCTGTTGTGCTGACTGATACTACTTATTCATTTTAAGAAGTAATCTGCTAAAAATAATTTGCTATTCAAATTCTAGGTTATATTTCACACTCCTGAAAACAAATTTTATCACATCTGTCAGAACTTAGTAGGAACAAACTACTCCATCATAGTTCAAAGAAAAAAACAATGTTCTCTAGAAACAATTTATGAAAAAGTCAGATCCATATTTCATATGTGCCACAAAAGCTCATCAGAGTAATAACCCTCCTTCTCCTGGGTGTTATCCTACCATCTGCTGCTCTATTACTTATCTTTATTTTGCAACTAATTAACAGCATAATCTTCTAAATTCAGCAAGTTAATTATCATTATTGTGGTCTTTGCAGCATCATCAGTCCTCATGAAGTCTTGTCTCCCCACCCCCAGAGAACATATGAAAATGAAGTAGGTTGGGAGAGAGTCTGTTTCTTTGGAGTGGGCTCATTAGGTGTTTGCTGATTAGCTTGGCATGCAGAGGCAGGTCAGAAGAATTCTGCTGAACATGAGGTTCCATGCAGGGCCCAACTAAGTTAATGTAGGTTTCTGAACATTTGCCAAGATGCCCTCTGTCAACTCTCGGTAGAAACCCCCTGCAGAAAACCTACTGGCTACCCACTGTGTGCAAAGATATTTCTCAGTTGTCACACAAGACTTAAAGGAACGACTGTGGAGAATGCTACCTAAATACTTTATTAAATCTTCCTAACAAAACTCCTAGATGGTTATATTTTCTTATTCAGACAAGTTACTTTTTGATTACAAATATTACATAAGGAAGTTGTTTTATTACAACAGTAACACAGATGGAAAGTATCTATTGTTTATGTGCTTAATGACAAAACTCCTAAACCTAAATTTGGTGAGGTCCACTGCAATTCTATGCAAGACAGTAGAGCCTAGGAATTTTTCTGTAGTATTGAAAAATACTAGATAATCTTGTATTTATGGACCCTCACCTACACTTCTTTTTCTTACCACATTCTCACTTTTCCAAAGACTTAAAAGTTCTAACAAAAAAATCATCTGAAGAAATTTCTTTAGCAGTAAAAGGATCCATTTCAATATCTACAGTAGACACAAACAATGCATATTTGTCTACCTATAAGCACTAGACATCTGAAAATCAGGGCCCCACAAAGGCATCCTTGATTATCTTAGGATACAAATAAGTTTCTCTTCAGCTGTAGTGTGCTAGTCATTCTTGTATGTT